GGACCGAGTGCAAAACTTTTTGTTTCAGCGCTGACCTACCATTTTTATCACTTTATTGAAAGGATCGTGAAATCTACTTTCCGTACGAAGAGTAAGTGTCTGATAACTTTTTGACCCTCAAGAGGAGGGTTAAACATGGATTTGTTGACTGTTAACAAAGGACTGAACTGCTTTTGCTATTAGAGCCCCCTCCACCCGCCCCTTCCCCTCCTCCTCCCTCACCACCACCTCTACGCTCGCGCTCGACGCATATCCATATAATGTCTACATAGATAACATGTTAATATATAGCGAAGTCATTAAAGTTACACAGCTGTACCAGTAGGTATAGCAAATTAAGCCTATCAGTATCATAGATTTTAGATTTGTATTAGTAGTATCCTAGATATATGCTCTGAGCGCGAACGCAGTGGCAGGAGGGCGCACTTGATTCGGTTGCCAGTGAGTTTATCAGAAGAATACCTGGCTACAGTACACGTCAGTTGAGCGCTGTCGCTCTGCGGCACTTGTTATATGAGAATATTCTTACAGTGCGAAATTATCAAAATGTTCCATTAATATCTGTAAATAATTGTGCATTTTATATAATCTGGTTGCAGCGACCCTCAACAATCATCCTCGAGTTAGCAACATGGCGTTGATATATCGGAAGTTATTTATAGATGTGATTGTTGCAATTGACTCAACTTCATCCCCGAGTTACGATACCAGTTCCAATATCGAATCCACAGAAGCCAATTACTATGTCGTCGCTATGAGTTAAATATGTTTCTTGTATGCATGTTAGCTCAAATCATTTTTACAAATCTCGTTTTCTAGCATTAGGCCTACTCAATACTAGGCCACGTAGCCCTAGACTTTTCAGAGCAGCCCCAGCATAGCATGGTAACCCGTGCTTCGTATACTAAAGCAATCGTACCTAGAGCCAAATAAACCTACCGGTATGCTAATATTTACGTATAATACAATACGTGTGAATGATATTACGATTATTGAACATATATTATTGATAAAAGCATTGAACATATTTTATTTCGCTAGAACCTCGGAATCGGTCACACCTATGTGTATTCAAGAATAAAATCATCGGAAGATAAAGTGTATTTGATATAAGCAATTTTATAAATAAACACATGCTGCACGTTGCATAGCAAATACGTATACGTTTCCGTGTACCCCACACACTTGTTCCTTCTTGTTTAATACTTGAATAAAATATTTACAATATAATTATTAACTTAAGCACGAGTAAGGCTCGTAGGGTCTATGCCCCCCAGGTATACCGGAACGTACCCTGGTGGCTATTTGATATGGTTAGGGTTAGGGTTCGGGTTGGGGTTAGGGAGTAGGCGTAGGCGACTCCCTAGACTCGTTAGTGGAGTAGGCGAGGTACGGTCCGGCATATTAGATAGTACCAGGGTACGGTCCGGCATATTAGATAGTACCAGGGTACGTTCCGGCAGTACCCTGGGGGACATAGATCCTCTCAGCGTCAGTTTAATTCATAAAGTTCTGTTGTTAAAGATACTAGTTTTTGCCTAGAACAAATCAATTGAGGCTAACGTAACATGCAGCTTCAATTGAATATGGTATGCTAAATCATGTCTGTTTGCATGTTTGTGTGGTATTGTATTTTTTGGGGGGTTGGAATGTTCAGGCCAAGCAGAATATTCTATACTTACATCATTTGATGTTGCATTTAATTGAGGCCGTATATAATCACGTAACATGTTGGCACATATTTCTAGAACCTGTAGTAAAGCATATATGCACTATCCATGTATAGGTCATGAGTGTGAAGTCATATAAAATGTGGGTAGAACCACGTATGTAGCCATAATGTACCCTATGTGCAATTGTGTGTGGACCAGGTATTGAAGGTGTGCTGCAAGCATACAGGAACTGTATCCGGCAGGTGCGGCTCTATGGTCCAACAAACATCGCGCCTATCATTCTCCATGCAGCCAAGTTTGCAGCTGCTGTCCAGACACAACCAACAGCTAGCGTAAGTACATGACAAATGAGCATAATCTACATCTTATAGCCAGTATGTGTGACATAGCTATGTAGAGCTTATAATGCTAATAAAATTACACTTGCTGAAATTGTTAGTATTAACGTTATAAAATCGGTACTTTTAACTACAGTAAGTAACCACGGGCTGTGCCTTTCTTTTGCAGCAATACTTTGTTCTGCTCATTCTATCCGATGGAGTGATTACGGACATGAATGATACACGCAATGCCATCGTCTATGCCTCCAGTCTGCCGCTGTCCATCATCATTGTCGGTGTAGGCAATGCTGATTTCACCGACATGAACACGCTAGATGGTGACGATGGCATCTTGAGAACAACCAGTGGTCAGCCAGTACTCAGAGACATAGTCCAGTTCGTTCCCTACAGAAAGTATTCTTCGGTGAGTGTAATTTCAACATATACGTAAGCATATTCCCCTAGATCAGTGGTTCTTAACCTTTTATGAGTTGTGGACCCCTTTGAGAATCTGGTGAAAGCTACAGACCCCTCTCCAGAAAAATGCAAATAAGCACATAAACACAAAATTTTGCATGCGCCTGGTTCACGGACCCTCTGAGGGGGTCCATGGACTACAGGTTAAGAACCCCGGCCCTAGATGGTACTATATAAAAGTCGTTGAACATGCAGAAATGTGATATGTGTAAAGCCCTGTCTACACTAGTAAACTTTAGTTTGCAAACTCGAGCAAACTCCGAGTTTGTTAAAGTTTGGAGAAGTTTGTGGAGCCTGTCTACACTATGGTACTGACTACACTACACTACTGGTACTGACTGTGAATTCCAATGTTCAATGTCCAATGTTTGTCTATCTGCAGGATCACATGACTACAAACTGTCATTTGATTGGCTGAGTTATTCCAAACCTCAGCAAACTCGAGCAAACTAGTTTGTCAAGAAGGTGCACGGCCTAACTTCTGCAAACTTCTGCAAACTTCTGCAAACTAGTTTGCCGAAGTTTGTCAACTGGTCTACACTGGCAAACTTTGGAAAACTTTTCTTGCCAAACTCGAAGTTTGCTCGAGTTTGCAAACTAAAGTTTGCTAGTGTAGACAGGGCTTAAAGCATTTGTAAATTGCTAATGCCAAAATAAGTTTGCATAGCTATCACAATTTTTCGTTCACATTGCAGAATGTTGTAATTTCTCACCAAAATTATTTTTCATCCATTTAATATGCTCTAATACATAAGTGAATGCCTAGTGGTTCTTCTTAATTTTCATGTTTTCTCCACTTCCAGAATGCAGCATTTCTAGCAAAAGAAGTTCTTGCAGAAGTACCCAATCAAGTCGCTGGTTACTACAAGATGAAAGGTATTGTTCCTATGACACCTCCCCCAGCTCAACAGCAACCAGCAGGCTAAGACTGGTCTATAGTCGTAAAGACTTCGATTCAGATACGGGGAACAAGTAAATATTTTATTACGTTAATGTAAATTATACTTACGTGAGAATGTGTATTTACTTTTAAAGTAGCCATGTAATACAATCTTAAATGATTATATGCTTAATTTGACTAGGGGGGAAATGCATAGTCATGCAAAAATAGACAATTCTGATAGTTTCATAATGATAATATCATGATTTCATTACCATATCATAAAAAAACACTAGTAGTATTTTAATCTTTTTGAATATTGGCAATTCAAAAAAGTTTTAATGATAGCCGCGTTCACACGTAGCAAGAAATTTGGTATTTAGCGTTCACACGAGGCAAAATGCGCGGTCCAAGAAATACGGAATCTAAATAGATTCAGTATTTGTTGAAATACGCGGCTTCCCAGATGCCGAATTACTTGCCGTGCTTGAGAAATTCCGAATCTCTTGGACCGCTTATTTCTCTTGTGTGAACGCTAAATACCGAATTTCTGAAGCCGCGTATTTTATAGACTGGTCCGCGCTCGACAGTTCCACTCGCGTAACGTGTAACGCGAGTGGAACTGTCGAGCGCGGACCAGTCTACGTATTTTATCGGCAGTTGCTGTACAATGATTGTTTATTTCGCATTGTTCGCTTGATTGTTTGCTTGGATGCATTGTTTTTTTTTATTGTACTAAAGCAGCTCGCAGCTCGCAAATACGGCATTTCTGAAGCCGCGAATCAGCGTGTGAATGCTCGGTTGCGAATTTGTCTCAGATTCGGTATTTTGCAAATACCGTATTTCATAAATACGGAGTCTCGTGTGAACGCAGCTGATGTTTACTATGATTGAAATGCATTGTTTGTAATTATCTCATAATTTTAAAGCTAGTAAATCTTATAGATATACATGGTCACAGCCTTTCCAAGCTGTGTCTATGTTCCTGCTGTCGCATACATTTTCTATAATTAGTTTATAGGACTAAGAATAGTTTTAATAGTTTATAGTAGTAATAATTCTATTGCCAACTAGAGTTAGTTGGTAGAGTATAAATTATGGAGTATTTATAGAAGTAGTTCATCTCTGTTCCATTTATAGATGTTTCATGATTAGTTGACTTAGAAAAGCATAGTAGAAGTCTAAATAGTATGTTTACTGCCATTTATATGTATATAGTTACACGGTATATAATTTCTTTAATGGGAAAAATTGCAACTATTAAAGGTAATATCATTTCTATACATTATAACAAGAGCTAATAAATAGGTATTTATTAGCTCTTGATTATAATTATCTTTATCAAAAATGGCGTATGTGTATACAATGTATTTGATATATTTACTTATATACATACGTATATATATATATATTCGTTAGATCATGTATTATATCCTAATGAGTGTGATCACTTATTTGTATTCAACCTATATAAGAGAGCATGTTTTACACAGAAAGACTTTTTAACTCAGCTGACGAAGTCCGATGCAGCTTGTAGAATCGCATGATTGTATGTCCGTTCGTCCGTCCGTGCGGTCGTCCGTGCGTGCGTCCGTCAACAGTTGGGCACAAATCTTAACCGCTCGACGTACGGTCTTGATATTTGGGACGTCGGGAGGGATCGCGAAAAGGACTCGGGATGTCGAATTTTGGGGTCAAGGGTCAAAGGTCAAGATTTGTCAATGGAGGGGGAATATTTCCCCTTTAACTTAAGGTATGAGGAAATACGGAATTGCGGCACATATCTCAACGGCTTGACCTACGCTCTTAATATTTGATGTATAGTTTGATGGGGAAGAAACCCATCACCAGCGCGAAATTGGAGGTTACAGGTCAAAGGGCAGTGGGGGAAAGGTCAGATATCAGACATTTTCTGAGGACATGGTCTAACGGATCGAGTGCAAAACTTTTTTGTTTCAGCGGTGACCTACCGTTTTTATCACTTTGTTGAAAGGACTATGAAATATATTTTCTGCTGACGTGCGAAGAGTAAGTGTCTGATAACCCTTTGACCCTCA